TAACGGGAAAGTCCTCTTGGTACCATTGATATTCAGATAGTGCCTGCATAAATACTAGCTACTATCAGTACAATATATCTGTCTGAGCAAAACATGAGGTCATCATAAGGATAGTGGGTGCGTAAGGTGTTGCTTCACTGTTAACACTATTGGTGGGAATTGAACCTGGGTCTTCGGCATGACGAGCCAACGCTTTCACCACTAGGCTACCTAACAGCTGCATCATAAGGAGAAAGACCGATGTAAACGTTCAGCTACATCAGTCACGCAATTTCCGAGATATTCACTGGAACGAATAATTTTTAGAGAAATAAAGAACTCAGTAAAACTAGGTCAAAACTGAAAATATCGTAAGGGACCATACCTTGATCTCCAACATTACCGAATTTCATTTCACATTTTTTTACAGATATTGACGAATAAATTGCATAAAATGCTTGTTCAATATGTCTGTCATGGTGGCCATATTGAAAATGGGTTCGACCTTCTTGAACTAATTCAGCTGTCATCATCGGTGGGAACAAGCATGTGACGTTTCAGCAGTAACACTGGTTGAGTGGGTTTGGGTTGTTGTTTTTTCTGAGAAGCCGTTTACGCCGGACGCCGGACAAAAAATATCATCACACAAGCAGACTTGGGGTGAAGTGGACTGATGAAAAGGAGAGGAAACGTTTGTTTTGCAAAGATTGCATCGCGGATAAATGTCTATGTATTCTATATTTCTTGCTTTATAACAGTTTACATTACAGTATAAAATGTTATCCTAATGAAATACTGCATCTGTATTCATAGAGATTACAAAACGAGTGGGTGTTGTGAATATGGAAAATTTTCCAACGAGATATATTTAAACGTTTTGATTTATTCATGAGCGAAAGTAGATAAACGGTTACACTCTTACTTTATCTGCAATATTACAAAATAAAACAATGGCTCAACACCATACAACATTGTACAGTGTACTTTGAAATGCATTCTTAATGGTGTCATTGGGCACGAGGCAGATCATTTAGGTGTTCCTTTGTGAAAATATGTGTGCCCATACCTTTTGAGGATTCATTTGAACTTAAATCATCACAATAATTGTCATTTCAATTTATTGTTAAATAACATTAATAAACATCATGTAAACCTGTAAACTTGAGAGCTGGATTTCCTGAACACTATCAAGACTGTTCAGCTTCATTTGTCCTGGATCCATAAATTAACCCATAAACTGTGTCATCACCCAAAACATGACTTCCTGTTATGCGCACTGGCAATCAGAACGGCCACGCCCATGTTAAGCTGTGACATTGAGAGTGCCACCAAATAACAGTTTGATGGTGTAATAAAATAGTTTTTGAATCACTTCAGAAGGTCCAATGTATTACATTTTCCATCAAATGAATCATGGTGTGTATTACTTCCATACCTTTAGTCGTGCCGCCGGGACACATTGACAATAGTTCTATGCGCCACTTCCGTGAATATTTACCGTGCTATGGTACTGACATATATACATGACAACGTCTGAGTCAACAGACAAACAAGACGGGCTTTTAATGACTTTCAATAGACATCTTCAGAAGAATCAGATTGTTGAGGGAACTTCCCTTTAAAGTCAGTCCGTGAAGTCATGACTGCTTTCAAACGTCACGCAGTAATATCCATCTATACGACGGCTAAATGATAACCAATGACATACTGACCATACAAACCAGTGATTGATATTATGAGCACCGACCCATGGGGTACAAGAACGCGCTATCAAAGAGCCAGTCGTTGTTCATTATATCAATCACGGGTTTGTCTGGTCAGTGCATCATTTCAACGCTTAGAAGTCATATATGACACGCAATCAAAGAGCAGGTCAGATGCCCCAACAATCCACAAAGTCTGATCTCACAACCAAAATAGGTTGTTGGAACCAAGTCTGACCTGTCCCTTTATGAGGATGCCCTGGTTTAAACATAAGTGAGAGAGTGAATTTAGTACGCCGATTTTGGCAATATTCCAGCAATCACGGCGTAGGGCACCAGAAATGGGCTTCACGCATTGTATCCATGTGGGGAATCGAACCGAGGTCCTCGGCGTGACGAGCTCATGCTTTAACCACTAGGCTACCCCTACGCCTATTGCGAAGTACTGCAAACTTACCGGAAGCTGCGCAGTGGCAGCCATGTTGAATTACTAACCCATCGATGACGTGTCCGTATAGAAAGTTGATTTTCACGTACAGTAAACCCAGAATAACTGCTTAAACATTGCCATCAATGTACCCTCGAAGGTGTTTAATGACGTCAAACATCAGAATATCAATTCAGGATCGACAGCTGATGTTGTAGCCGTTCAATAGGCACAGCCGTCCCTCAATATCCCCGTCATCTTGTTGTTGTTATTGTTGTTGTGAGTCCAGGCAACACATTCATGGCCGAGCTGGTAACGATTTTGTAACAGATGGTAACAATTCAGTTTCATGCTCATTCAGATATCTTTTATTATCTTTTTAAAATAACCAAATTAGGTATATACATGCAACTCTTACTCCGAGATTGTGATATTGATTGCTGAAGATCAAATTAAACTTTACATGGAGCAATTACTTAAATGCTTTTATTTATCGCTGCGAAATCGTAAACGTGAGCTGCGTTTTTCAATCATAAATAGGATAGGCATATTCACAACGTTGCGCCCATGTGGGGAATCGAACCCGATGCTCATGTTGATCACTGGATTGTCTTTTCCACGGTGGGGTAGCCTAGTGGTTAAAGCGTTTGCTCGTCACGCAGTAGACCCGGGTTCGATTCCCCACATGGATATATTGTGTGAAGCCCATTTCTGGTGTCCACCGCCGTGATGTTGCTTTAATATTGGTTAACAGCGGCGTAGAAACTAAACTCACTCACTCACAACGTATCCTCGTTTTGAGGTGAATGAAAAGTCCACACTCCGGCGCATTCATGACTTCGCATAACATCCCTGCCACGGGGCTAACTGCCATTATCACGTGACCGGACTTATCTCTTTCTCGTGAAGAAACGCGCTTATTCGTAAATCAGACTGACTGACTGACTGAGTTTAGTTTTACGCCGCTTTTTGCAATATTCCAGCAACATCACGGCGGGGGACACCTGAAATGGGCTTCACACATTGTACCCATGTTGGGATTCGAACCCGGGTCTTCAGCGTGACGAGCGGACGCTTTAACCACAAGGCTACCCCACCGCCCCCGTAAATCAGGAGACTGGCCTAACGCAAGTATTTCGGTGAGCTCTTCATACTGTTTTGCATAGTCACATATACTCAACAAGTCAAGGACGATCCCAATCATCAATATTTCAGTATCTGAGAGTTCATATTAGGTGAGTGAGTGAGCGAGTTATTATTTAACGTCACATCAAGGACCATCCCAATCATCCATATTTCAGTATCTGAGAGTTCATACTAGGATCCATATGATACTTAAATATTGAATATTGGGATGGTCCTTAACTTTTTGTGTTGAGTATATATGTTATTCTGGAAGGGTGTTCGGCAATGCATATCTATACTATTCGCACTTTGCTAAGGATCAAATCATGGCTTCAACAGAAAACTATGATGTGGGGTCAAATTTGGTTTAAATATTTAAAGTTATTGTAAGCATGGGTCCTAGGTTTCAGTATGTCATTTCATCTTGTGGATCCCATACCTGCTATTGACAGGTGTTGTGTACTTGTCAATGACTCGTTCCATGATTTGCAAAATGGTTGATTGGCGTCATGAACACCATTTTTATGGTTACTCAAGTGCATAAGGTTAGATTAAAGTGACTGTTTGCCTAAAGAGGGGTTACCATATCATTATTTATCCAGTTTTATATGGATACAATTTCAAAATATAAATCTTCGTTTAAGTAAAGTTGTGAATTTTTGTGATCCTTAGCAAAGTGTGAGTAGTATATATCCATGTGACGAACGGGTCAAATTCCTTAATGGAACGGACACATACTACCTTGCGTAATCAGGCGGCCTTTGAGTAATGATTGTCATTAGGTTAACTGGTGACTGTATCGGTTAACTGCTACGAAGTATTTGTTTCCCCAAAATACTTCACCAGCATCGTTTTTGAAGTCACGTCACTCACTCAAAGCCTCTTATCACGAGCTCGGCACGAGGTTCCTTACGCTCATGAACGCCATTTGACTAGACGGCCCTTTCGCTCAAAGCGAGGCTAAGATAGCGGATGAGTCCTAGTCAGAAGCGAAAATGAATGAGCACATTAAGCCTATGATAAACGAGGATGGATGAAGAGTGATTGGTTGCCATGAGTTACGGTTTTGGTTTGGTTTGGTTTGTTGTTTAACGCCGTACTCAGCAATATTCCAACTATATGGCGGCGGCCTGCAAATCATCGAGTCTGGATCAGACAATCCAGTGATCAACAGCATGAGCATCGATCTACACTATTGGGATACGATGACATGTGTCAACCAAATCAGCGAGCCTGACCACCCGATCCCGTTAGTCGCCTCTTTCGACAAGCATGGGTAGCTGAAGATCAGTTCTAACCCGGATCTTCACGGGTCATGAGTTACGGACCAGTAAGAACACAGTAAGTCTTGTGCATGTCGAGCATGGCGTGTAGCACATCTTGCTTACTGATGCTCTCCAGATGTATATCCTGAAGGCCATCATCATCATTAGCACATAAAATATATAAATCTTTACAAATGCAGTATAAAATATAGATAAATATACAGTGAATAAGGGGCGGTGGGACAGCTCAGTGGTTAAAGCGTTCGCTCGTCAAGCTGAAGGCCCGGGTTCGATTCCCCACATGGGTACAATGTGTGAGGCCCATTTCTGGTGTCCCCCGCCGTGATTTTGCTGGAATATTGCTAAAAGCGGCGTAAAACCAAACTCAGTCAGTCAGTCAGACAGACAGTCAGTCAATGTGTGAGGCCCATTTCTTGTGTCCCCCGCCGTGATGTTGCTGGAACATGCTAAAAGCGGCGTAAAACCCAACTCACTCACTCACTGCAATGGATTTTTAAAGAAGTCATGAAATTACTCACTGCAATAGAGAATAGCTAAAAATTGAGATTTGAAAGGATCACACGTTGCATAAAAAATCAGGTTTCTGAGCACACATTTACATTTCTGTTGACTGAACTGAGATATGAAAACGTCATCTCATTCAGGTTTCCCTACACAGTAAATCCGCTTTGCCTTGATGCTCACAATCTGCTGGCATCCATTGATAAAGATCCCGGTGAGAGTTTTTCCGTACTGACATCCTGTATCTAAACACGTAGCGAAATCGTACTGCCGAAACCCCCGCCGTGCATCATGTCCAAAATATACATGTTCAGGGCCCGGCCACAATGACGACCAAGGAACGCCCCTATCGGGCTTATTTGAGAACACCAGACCCCCTCCGTCAAAATAGTCTTCTTCTATAATGTTCCGCATACGGGTCAAGGCCACGAGACTTTGCTTGTCCAAAGAGAGGCCAGGAACAATCCCAGCATGCACTACGATTGAATTCAAACTCGGGATGCCGATAGTGAAAGGCAGCTGGGACAGGAAGTGGTGGTCTTGTGTGGTCATGTCCTTGATCCATTTGTGTTTGGTTCGCAGAACATAATTGGGATCATTTTTCATAAACCTGTATTCTTTCAATACAATTTCTTCATGGTTTCCTCTCACGGCGTAACAGTCGATCTCCCCACTCTGAATGAGCCTGAGGACGCCGATGCTACACGGACCTCTGTTGATGAGGTCCCCTACAAAAAGAAACAGCACGTTTGGTTCCATTTTCTTGACCACTTGGATCATGTCCCGCAGTTCGTCCAAGCAGCCGTGGACGTCCCCCACGACAAACACCGCTTTCCCCCCGACAACATCCTCTCCGAGCTCCAAGTGACAGGTGTCTGGTAAGGGGAGGTCATACTTGTCTTTCCGGACAGTTGGAGTCTTCTGTAAGATGGACATCAGGTTGGCAACAAGGGCGGCCATTTTGTTGACGTCGTCTGCTTCTCATCTGACCACACATCTGATATCTGCAACAAACAGAGCCGTGAGTGAGTGAGTGAGTTTAAGTTTACGCCATTTTAGCAGTATTCCAGCAATATCACGACGGGGGACATCAGAAATGGGCTTCACAGATTGTACCGGTGTTGAGAACCGAACCCGGATCTTTGAGCGACGAGCAAACGCTTTAACCACTAGGCTACCCCACCGCCCCCACAAACAGAACGTGTAAGTGAATGAGTTAAACAAAACTGGATTGAGCTGTGTCACAGTTAATGCAAAATCGTTAAAAACGGCGCACGGATCCCGATCAGAAAGCTACGCAACTCTTTTTATTTATTTGCCTAGAAGTAGTGAGTGAGTATGGTTTTACGCCGCTTATAGCAATATTTTAGCAATATCACAACGGGGTGACACCAGAAATGGGCATCACACGTAGCCTTGTTCAGAATCGAACCCGGGCCTTCAGCGTGACGAGCGAACGCTTTACCCACTAGGCTATCCCAGCGCCCCAGCCTAGAAGTACGTGACTGATTACTGTCCTGTTCTGTGTGTTGCTGAATAAAATAAGCTGTCATTGTTGGCGAGTATATATATATAATTCCAAGAATTCACTTGAAATTTTTTTTATATACATATATCACGGTATATAGGTAAATATTTGGTGACCACTCTTTGGATTTATACAAAATTCACAGCTCTATGAACAGTATGGAACTAAATTCTTGGTGAATTTCGGCGGAAAGTCTAACACGACTTCTTTGGGGGGGGGGGGGGTTTAGCCTTATGGTTAAAGCGTTGGCTCGTCACGCCGAAGACCCGGGTTCGAATCCCCACATGGGCACAATGTGTGAAGCCCATTTCTGGTGTCCCCCGCCATGATGTTTCTGGAATATTGCTAAAAGCGGCGTAAAACCAAACTCTGTCAGTCAGTCAGTCTTTGTTAGGGTCGACATTCTTTCGTACACTAAACTGCATATGTGGAAAAACTGATGATCGGTCACCACTTTAATGAAACTTTCGTCAGGGTTGCAGACGTTGAATAATATTCCATATACCCTTACATTTTCAAACCTCACTGTTTGAACACATTAACCGTATCCTTACACATCTAAGGGACGCTACTCTACAGAGACTGAGACGTCTGTGGTATACACTTAAAGAGATCTTATCAACCACAAAGCATGATCGACAAAGGCTGTACGGGATACGATTAAGAGTTTCCTTGACCCGGTAAACCGCAGTTTTTAAGAAACTAGAAACAGGTGAACCAGTTGGCAAGTCACAAGTGAAAACACGATTGAGACATCACAGTTCCCTATCACGGCAGGCGACTTTAATAAACCAGTGAGCCACGTGAGGCATAGACTGGGTCACGCTGTCAGACGGGACTAAATGTCGCCCTGGCCCCATGGTGAACACACATCACTCAGCTGGGGGTATCGTTATTTGTTGATATGAGTATATCAGCTTTCATCATATATTTTATAAATGTCAACATAAAAGTATATCACACACGTCCATGAAAGAGGCGGTCCCGCGAGCGTGTTTGAGTTCGGTTTAATGTCACGTGGCACAATTTCAATGATCTCACGGCATGTCCCTTGGTGTGGAGGAACTGCCGTCACTGAAGCCACCGCAGTCAACCCCTGGCCCTGTTCCCGTCGCATAACGATATCGAGCTGTAATTGTTTTTTGTTACCGTGGATCAAATTCACGTGTTTATTGTACGTAAGAACACTGGCCCAAATACTTGAACTGCATAATACATAGTGTTATTTTACAAATACACTACCGGGCAAAAGAAAGTTATCCCCGACTTCACTTGCCCAAAAATAGAAACAAAGACGTATGTGAGATTTATGATAAGTATTTTACAAACAGAAATCATTTCCCGATAATTTGAATGAAAATCCATTGTAGGGGACCGTTCATAATTTATGGCTAAGGGGGGCGATGACGATTTTAAGGGGGGGACACCCATTTTGTTCTGGGGAGCAAGGGGGCGTCATTGATTTTGTACGTGACATCCAGGGGGGTCACTTATTATGTACATACATTTTATTTATTTTTTTTATTTTATTTAATTTTTTTTTTTTGGGGTGGGGGTGGTGGTGTGTGTCATTCACATTGTACATGCTTCTCCATAAAAATCATCACACACACCCACACTACCACACCCCAGCCATAACTTATGAACGGTCCCTAATGCAGATCTTACATTTGCCGCAAGAAGTAGTCGAGGGGTCAAGATAGAAAAATACACAAATCAGAGTTCATTAAAAATGTGCATAAAGAGTCACATAATGAGACAGCAGTTAGGGGACATGTCATCAATAGCGATTGTGACCACCCTTGGCATACATACACATTGACGTCTCCACACTGACATCGTCAGTCGGCGCACGACGTCGGCAGGAATTCTGTTCGATAAGTACAAGAGTCTGTTCAAATTCCTGTCGGTTCGCTGGAGGTGGTACTCGCTGTCTTAGCTGACGATCAAGATGATCCCAGAGATGTTCAATGGGGTTCATGTCCGTAGATCGCGCTGGCCAAGGCAATACGTTGACGTTAACGCTGTGCAGGCATTGTCGAACAATTCTGGCGGCGTGAGGCCTTGCGTTGTCGTGCTGCAAAATGACTCCTCTTGGCTGTTGCCGAATAAAGGGCACCACAAAAGGTCTCAACACTTCATCCCTGTATCACTGGGCATACAGATTTCCTCGGATGATAACCAGTCTTGTTTTCGGGCCGCAATACCGCTCCATACCTGGACGCCTCCTCCATCGAACGGGTGGACTTCCTGAACGCAGTTTGGCGCCAGTTGCTCTCCTCTACGTCGTAAAACTGAAACTCGACAACGTTTCTGAACAGACTGACTCGACCTTCATCTGCAAAAGGCACTCCCTCGCGGTCATGTCGCAGCCACCGACGTTCAGTCCTTGCCCATTGTCGTCTGCGTTGACGGTGTAGATGGGTCAAGGCCATTCCACGGAAGGGGCGGTAGGCTCGTATACCAACCATACCAAGACCTTGAAGGACTGTTTGTCTGCTGAAGGCGTGTCCTAGTGCACAATTGACGTTGCCGTCTTCAGCCGGTGTCCTCCTGGTCTTCCTGATCTTGGACGGTCTTGGGTCTGGCCTGTTTGCTGGTATCGGTTTATGGTGATGGTGGCCTGACTGCACTATTACCAAAAGGAGGGTACATTGTTTGACTAAAACCTGAATTGCATATGTATCCGGTGTGTACTGATTTAGAGTGTTTTAGATCGGCAAATATAGTTCCAATCATACTTATCTTTTACATTTCAGAATTGTTTTTGGTAACAGTCCTAATCCGTAGTATGTTTTGTTTGTTTCTTGTTTAACGCCGCAATCACCAATATTCCAGCTATATGGCGGCGGTCTGGAAATAATCGAGTCTGGAAAAGAGCGAGTGAGTGAGTTTAGTTTTACGCCACCTTTAGCAATCTTCCAGCAATATCACGGCGGGGGACACCAGAAATGGGATTCACACATTGTACCCATGTGGGGAATTGAACCCGGGTCTTCGGTGACGAGCGAACGCTTTAACAACTAGGCTACCCCACTACCCCAGAACATAAGATGTTACTTGCATATGAACGTCCATTCACATTGGTTTGTTTTGGTTTGTTGTTTAATGCCTCACTCAGCAATATTCCAGTGTAATCATAGCTTTCGGCCGTGGGAGCCGTGCCAATTTACACTTCTCAGAGGTGTACACAAAGTCCGCAGTCTAGACTACCAGTTGCGGTGGCTGAGCGGGTAAGGCGGCTGACTTTGTGTCCTGGAGATTAGGTGCCTGACTCTGAGGGTGTGGGTTCAAATCCCAGATGGGATTCAACGGAAAAATAGTACAAGAATTTTGTAATTTATTACATATGTTACATTTGACCACTTTCTAAATGGCATTATGTAATCAATCCAGTGATCAACAACATGAGCATCTGTCTTCACAAGTGGGGCACAATGACATTAGTCAACCATGTCAGTGAGCCTGACCACCAAACCGTTTAGTCGCCTCTATACGACAAGCATGGGTTGCTGAAGACCAATTCTAACTTGGATCGTAGGGGGTTTATCAATTTTAAGACCCAGTTGTAGACATGTAGAACACTGACTGAAAAGTCTTATTTGGAATATGGAAATATATACAGCACATGCAGTAAACTATGTTAACAAGCATTGTCACTAAGGGGACATAATCCCCCGCCGAAAATGATCAAATCAAACTTATAAAGTAATGAAAGTTTAAGTTAAATGTCAACAAAAACATGACCAGTCAACCTCTCTTGATATCTTGCTCTTTAGGTGTTCCAACACACACATATTTTCAAGACTGACTTTGACCTTGACATGAATGTCATAGTGTATGAAATATGCAAAAATAGTACTAAAGAAATTGCTTATTGAAAACAATTAAGGGAAGTCTTGAAAGTCTGAAGAGAATCCAGTGAACCGTTCTTGAAATATCTTGCTGACAATTCAGGTTAACATGCTGAAATCTTCAAAGTGTCGCTGTGACCTTGAAAATTAAGTCGACCAAAAATCAACTGGGCCCTGTGCCTTCCCTGGATGAAGCTTGGTTTCAAATATGAAGACAATCCAGTGAACTGTTCTTGAGATAGCTTAACATGCAGGTTTACATGCTGAAATCTTCAAAGTGTCGCCATGACCTTGAAAATTATGTGAATGTCACCAAAATCGCCTGGTCCCTGCGCCTTCCCTAGATAAAGCTTTGTATTGAATATGAAGAAAATCCAGTTAACAGTTCTTGAGATAGCTTAACATGCAGGTAAAACGTGAAAGTCCTAAACACAAAGTCAAAGTGACCATTATTAATCTTAGTTCCTTGCGACCATAGTTTCATACACACTTTTCGACAGTAACATAGAACAAGTAATTGGGAGCCCCCCCAACCCAAACTGTTGGTGTAAGCATGTTCCTTATAGTTTACTGTTCACAGATTACGATACCAGAGGCTAATAATCTCTATGAAGAAGGTGCC